GAGAAAGTGAGAAAGAGAAAAAAGTACATTCTGATGTAACTAGACATATGATACACACACGACATACCGAGATCTCTACCCTGATCTCTCTATAAAGAAAGAATAAAGAAATCTTGAGCGATCGTTTTTGCAAATATTCGCACATGAGAATGAAAAAAAATCACAAAATAATAAATAATGCTATTTCTAAATGCAGGTAAAAGCCGTTTTTTTTTAATTGAAAATAAAATAAACACACAAATATCTCAGAAAAAAAAGAAAGAAAATAAATCGAAATAAATGTGATAAATTTTAGGGAAGAAATGCATAAATTTGTAGCCAGAGAGGATCTGAAGCGACAACAACAGATAATAAAACAGTCTTTGATTAGAATAGAGAGCGCACTTCGAAAAAATAATCGTGTTTGTGTGTTTGTATGTTTCATTAGTATCATGGGTGACATGGTTAACTAGATACGCATTTTTAAAGTCTTGTTACAGTAATTAAGACTGTTGTTTACTAACCATAAGTTAATACCGTAGAGATTATCAATATAAATCCCAAATTCATTAACTAATAATGTTTATTAACTGAAGTAATTGTAGCAACTGTCAGTGTTCTTCATTATCACCAATACGTGTATTTTGAATGTCAACTTCTCCCCCTCCCTGATATATTTTTTTCCCTTCGTGCGTGTGTGTTGTTTATGTACTGGATTTGATCGGTTAAACAACTGCTACGATTCGTATGTTACAGAGGATATGATGTATTCATGATTTACAAGGTTATTCTTACCACGTATTCTATAGGACACCATGCATCCAAGAAAGAATGCGATGTTCTTTATGCATTTGCAAAAGTATAAGATGTCTCTGTTGAATAAACCATATTATCTTTGCTTTTAAAATTTTGATTCTTCGTGTTTCTTTTATTCGTAATATTTCTTCTTATTTTTATAGGGAATAATGTAGACTGTACAGAGCTCTCGGAAAAAATAAAATCAAAAGGAAAAAAAATATGGCAATCTTAAAAAAAAAAGAAAAGTAATAACTGCGAATCGATACTGAGTCGAATGCGCCACGGACCCGATTCGAAATAATAAGAAAACAGCCTCTAGTCTCTCTCGTCTACAGAATTGAAAAGACATGATAAATTAAAATATAAACATTGCTGGAAAGACCCATGCATCTGCAATGAGTGACTCGATTCCCAACGTATTTTCACGAGTCTAGGCCTTGGTAATGGCGCCATAGCCGAGGTTGGTCCCGGGAGACAAAAGAATCTCACTCGATTCGGAGTGGATGGAGCTCACGCTTGTCTCTTCCTCGTCCTGTTGAGCTGCGGGATAGAAGAAAAAAAAAAAAAAACATTTTAAAAGTATCTGCTTGTACTGTGCAGCATATCTGGATTCATCTCCCCCCTAAGTATTAGACAATTATATTTTTCATCATTGTTTGTAAGGCAACATTTGCTTTCACTTGTACTTATATAATAAGCTATTTCAATCTGTATATCCGTGATAGAAACCGAGACAAAGAGGAAGAAAACAACAAACATATAATAAAATAAATGCACTAACAAATAAAAGAAAATACCCCAAAACTGGACAGACGAATGATCAAAGCACTTACCTTGTACGAGTTTCCGCGTGCGCCCCAACTTGACACGAGAGAGAATGCAAATGGCGACAAATGCCAAGAGTAGCGGAATGAAGATGCCAAGACTCATGACATGACGGTAGTAGACGGAACAGTTGGGACCCTCGCATGCCACTCTGGAATGTTAATGTGTTGACTGAGATTTACCATGATCGTATTTTTACTACTTGTTTCTTTTTCTTGATTTTAAGGATAATAGTAATAGTAATAGTAATAATAATAATAATAATAGTAATGATAATAACAATAACAATAGTAATAATAATAATAATAATAATAATAATGATAATGATAATAATAATAACATTGATTATTATTATTATTAGCATTATTATTATTATAGTAATGATTATAATAATGGTGATAATAATAATAATAAATTAGTAATGATAAGGACAGTACAATAATAACAAATAATAACAATAATAACGATAATAATAATGATCATGATAATAATGATAACAACAAGAACAATCACTACTAATTGATAATAATAACAATAATATCATTGTTAATAATTAACAGTGTTAATAAAAAAATAACAATGCAGCATCTACTACTACTAAAAATGACAATAATGTTAATAGCATCACTAGTAAGAGCACAAATAATAATAATAATAATAATAATAATAGCAATATTACTACTACTACTACCAATAATAATAATAATAATAATGCAACTCCTAATAACAGCAATGATAATAATAACAATACTGATAATAATAGTATTACTAATAATAAAAAGTAATAAGAATAATAGTGCCACCACTAAATGAGAATGATAGTAATAGTAATATCAATAATCATTAATGATGATAATGATGATGATTATGATGATGATAATGATAATAATAATAACAATAATGATAATAATAGTAATAGTTATGAAGATAATCATAACAATAATAACAATGATGATAATATCAAGAATGGTAAAATAATAATAATGATAATGATGATAACGATAATGATAATGATGATAACAACAACAACGACAACAATAATAATAATAATAATAACAATAATAATATTAATACTAATATTTATAATGATAACAGAAATAATAATAATCATAATAACAATTACAACATCAAGATAAATCATAACACAAATGAAAAAAAAATCACAACATTAACAACAGCTAAATAACCAGTTTCTGACGCCACTTCTTACCGAGTCAGTTCCTGGATCATGAAGACAGCAATGCCGTTTAGCACTTTGTCCCCGAAACTCATGCTTCCGTACACGAAGGCTGAGCTGTTCTGCAGGCGGAGAGGGATATTAGTCTTTAAGGTTATGTTTGTTTGGCTGCCCTCTGTCTGTGTGTTTTGTCTTAGTGTGTCTGTCTGTGTTTCTGTGCGTCTTTGTCTGTTTATTTCTCTATTTTGTGTTTGTCTTTCTCTGTTTCTGTCTGTCTTTGTATCCGTGTAATCGTTTATCACTCTGTCTTATCTGTATACCCCTCCATCTATCTATTTATCTGTCTATCGATCGATCTAGCTATCCACTTCCTATTTGTCTATTTAGCTATCTGCTTATCTGTTTATCTAGTAAAAGTTGGTGTAAAAGATGATATCTTTTTTAACACTTTTTTTTTCTCTTCCCCATTTCAACTGTACTGAAATTTACTGTGTTAGTTATATGTAAATGAACTTATTGTCATCTTTGATAATAACTAACATGAAAATGATCGGGTTAATGACTACATGTTCACACATTTAGCGTCGTCAGTCCTGGTTAAGGGTTGCAGTTAGGGTCGCAACCAGAAAAAAAGTTGGGAAACACTGATATAGACACTAAGAAAACCTCCTCCTCCTCCTCTTTCTCTTCCTTTACCTCCACCTCCTCCTCCGCTCTCCACCTCCATCCCCACCTCCTCCTAATCTACATCCTCCTCCCTCTCCTCCTCCACCTCCACCTCTCCCTCCACATCCACCTCACCATCCCTCTCCCCCTTCACCTCCCCCCCTATCCTCTTCCCCCCTCCACCTCCTGCAGGAACTCACTGTGCTGCGTCCACCTCCTCCTCCTCCTCCCCCTCAACCTTCATCTCTCCCTCCCCCTCCTCCATTTCCATCTCCCCTTCACTTTCCACCTCCATTTCACCCCCTCCTCCTCCACCTCCTCCTCCGTCTCCACCTCTACCTCCACGTCCTCTTCCTCCTAATCCACCTCCTCCTCCACCTCCATCTCCCCCTCCCTCTCCACCTCCATCTCCCTCCCCCCCCCTCTCCTCGTCCTCCTCCACCTCCTTCAGGAACTCACGGTGCTGCGTCCACCTCCTCCACCTCCATCTCCCTCCCCCCCTCCCCTCGTCCTCCTCCACCTCCTTCAGGAACCCACGGTGCTGCGTCCACCTCCACCTCCATCTCCCCCCCCCTCCCCTCGTCCTCCTCCACCTCCTTCAGGAACCCACGGTGTTGCGTCCACCTCCACCTCCACCTCCATCTCCCCCCCCCCCTCCCCTCGTCCTCCTCCACCTCCCTCAGGAACTCACGGTGCTGCGTCCACCTCCACCTTCACCTCCATCTCCCTCCCCCCCTCCCCTCGTCCTCCTCCACCTCTACCTCCACGTCCTCTTCCTCCTAATCCACCTCCTAATCCACCTCCATCTCCCCCCCTCCCCTCGTCCTCCTCCACCTCCTTCAGGAACTCACGGTGCTGCGTCCACCTCCTCCTCCACCTCCATCTCCCCCCCTCCCCTCGTCCTCCTCCACCTCCCTCAGGAACTCACGGTGCTGCGTCCGATCAGATCTGCGGCGAAGGTAAGCGAGAGGATGACCAGGAGGGAACCGGAGACGCCCCACAGCACGGCCACGGAGAAGAGTGCCCAGCTTGGCATCCAGGGCAGGGCCGACACCGTGCTCGCCACTAGACCCACGACGATGCCCACGACCGTCGCTGCCTGAAGGTGGAAGGATGTTTGTGTCGGGTTATTGGGTATGGGTCACTGGGCACGGGTTATTGGGTATGAGTTACTGGGCACGGGTTATTGGGTATGGGCCAATGGGTATGGGTTAATGGTTATGGGTCATTGGGTATGGGTTACTGGCTTTGGATCATATGGATCAGTAGGTATGTTTAATTGGATATGGGTTACTGGGTATGGGTTAATAGGTATGCATCATTGGGTATGAGTCAGTTACTGGCTTTGGGTCATATGAGTCAGTGGATATGGGTAATTGGGTATGAGTTATTGGGTATGGGTCAATGGGTATGAGTTATTGGGTATGGGTCAATGGGTATGAATTATTGGGTATGGGTCAATGGGTATGAGTTATTGGGTATGGGTCAATGGGTATGAGTTACTGGGTATGGGTCAATGGGTATGAGTTATTGGATATGGGTCAATGGGTATGAG